CTCCTGTGCAATGTGGTCCCCTCTCAGGGCCGGGAGGCCACACCGTGGGCAGCTTATCATGGCATCCCCCCCGACGTCAGCCACCTCTACACCTTCGGCTGCCTGGCCTACATCCGCATCCCAGCCAGCCAGCAGGACAAACTCAGTCCTCGTGCAAAGGCGGGAACCTACCGCTGACCGGAGCACGGCATGGCCACCCACCGTGTCCTCCTCGAGGGCAAGGTGACCGTGAGCAGCGACGTCGTCACCTTCGATGACAACCGCCACGGCCTGGTTCACAACAGGCGGGCACCCTCTTCGGCACTAGCCCCCCCGGCGGCAGTGACCCCATCAGCGGCTCTACACCGCCCGCCATGCTGCCGACCCCAGCGGCTACCCCACCCCCGGCGACCCCAACACCACCCCTTCCATCGCAACACCCGCAGTCAACGGCAGTCCCTGCACATGCCACAGCCCCGGTCAGTGACGGCCTGCCAAACCGACAGTGGCGGCGGCGGAGAGTCGGGAAGTCCACCGCTGCTCGGGTGGTAGCGCTGACAGCGCTAAGTCTAACATGCCCGACGGCAGCGGCGGTGGCGGGGGCAACAGTGCGGTGCACACTGCCAACGACATGCTGGTGACGGCGGACAACCTGCAACCTGCCCAGTTTAAATGGGGGGGACTAACGGCTCACCTCGACTGTAATCACAAATTTAGATGCTTAATTCTCCATACTGACATTCTCCTTACACTTCGTCAATTGCTTATACTTTACTGTTGCAACAACTAGCAATGTGTGGGCAATTTGCACTGTACGACCAATGCAAGAAAACAAACCGTTTCAATCATTGGAAAAGGCACACAGCCCACATGCTTGCTAATGCCAGCCGATCAAAACTTTCGCCTACAGCTTTCCAAGAACAAGGGGCAGGAGAGAGGGGAAAGTGCGGGGAAGTGGGGCGGCAGCCCCACGACCCCGCACATTCCCCCCCAAGACCACCTGGCCACCGACATGCAATCATGATAGGAATGAGCGGGAGCCAAGGGAACATTTAAAAGCATGATGTCGAATTGGTATAAAACGGCCAAGGAAGGAGAGAAGGAAGGAACGGAGTGGGGACAATGTGCCGCGAGGAAATTCAATTAATCTACATCTCGCGTGTGGACGTGGCGTCGTCCTATACGGTTGTGGTGGGAGGTAGGAGGTACAGTAGTCGGCGTACAGCATCAGACATACCAGCTGCTGCAGTATCGAGAGCAGATGACGTACAACATCATTACATTCGATACACACACAGCGCCGCTGAGGATCTCTGCCATTTGTCAAATTTCAAATCTCATTTGTCTTTGCACTTTTGCGAGAGTGCTGTTGATGACCCCCCCCAAACGGCCAAACATGACCCCCAGACCGCACCACCATGCAAAGCTTATCGTCGGAAATCGAAACTCCGCACTGAAATGAATGAAACATATGTGAAGTAGAAGTCCCCAACAGGACATGGCGTAAAAGGACGGAGAAGGGAACCGCTATTCTTGGACCACATGGTGACGAGCAACTTGCCCAACCAAACCCAACCAAAGGGAAAGCCAGTAAGCAAGCAGTCAGAAGAAATAGCCACAATAATAAACTGATTATGGTATTGTGGTAGAAAGAAAGAAAGGTGACGTCAATAACAAATGTGTTGGGCTGAAGAAAGCATAGCAAAAAGATTAACAAAAGCAACTGATGCACAACAAAATTACGGGGATTGAGACGTGATTTATCAGCGATTGCGTGCACAAGTCATCGCCCAGCCTGAGGTAGAGCACAGCCCCCGCACGCAACCGAAGCAAAGCAAAGCCCGGGTCCAGTCCCTCGACTGCCCGGCAGCAGAAGAAACGCCTGTAAGGCATGGAGAGATGCCGCCAAAGAACAAGTCGGTTGCAACTAGTAACCCAACTAACAGATGCGGGACGTAACATACATGACATACATACAGACATGTATGCAAACGCAGACCCGCGGTTCCACTACCACCACCGGGGGTTACACATCACCAGCATCATACACACGTACGACCGGGGCAGGCCCCCTACAAACCCCCAGATGGTATCAGGTGAAGTCAGGTGTTATCCCACCAACACAAAAACACCCAAACTGAATGAGGCGTAATAAGCGCGACAAACGACCAGCGGCAACTAACTAGTAACCAAGAACCGACTCATAACGGAAAGCACCGAACGCAAAACCACCACATCAAGGATTTTGAGCAGTCGTCATTTAATTCGGAAAACACCATTCGAACAGCAGGCAAGGCAGCGGGTAGCTACTTTTCAACCCGTCCACCCTGGTTTAATGTGTAGATCCTGGCGGCACTTGTCTCCTCCTCCTCCCCCCCCTCCTCCTCCTCCTCTCCTCCATCCCTCCCCCCATTGGCCCGCCTGAACGATGGCAAGGAAAGGGCCCGGCCTCTCTGCTCTCTTACCCCCGTACGGCGGCATACGGGGCTACCTAGGTTAATAAGTCTACTTCTCTCGAAGGTCTGTCGCCTAGCGCCACCTAGCGTTAAGCCTTCAGCTGTACCTTGCACCTGCCAGCCTTTCTCGCGCAGGACCGAGACGATATCGATAGTGCCATAGCTTGTAACCACCAATATGATCATCACTATTACTACTATTACTACTACTACTATACTACTATACTACTATTACTACTATTACTACTATACTACTACTATTACTACTACTATACTACTACAGTACTACTACTACAGTACTACTACTATACTACTACTACTACTGCTGCTGCTGCCTCCTCGCTCTCGTCACCACTGCAGTAGTCCTCAGAACACATGGATTAATTATTAATAGCCGTCGTCTTTGTCGTAATGATCGAAGTGGCCAGCCAAGAAGCAAACTGCACATACATGCAGACATACATGCACCAGCTGCCCACAGCCGTAGCCACACCCGGTATGTGTCCTTCCATGTGCATCATAATGCCGTACATCTTCACTTGGTGTTGCTGATGATAATGATGATAATGGCCATGATGCCATGATGTCATTCTGGGTGATGAAGGCTCTCAAGGCAGGCACACAGCTCTAAGCAGATACAGCTGCAACCCACCCTTGCTTTCCGCCGCAAGCAAGCAAGCAAGCACCCAACCCACGTGCAGTATCATTGGCATAATGAATTATCACTGCACAGAAGCACTTCATCACCACCAGCATCTGGGGCTAACTGACTGAAGACCGCCGCCGGGGATCCCCTCTTAAGTTGCAGCGGTAGGAGCGACACACACACACATATACATACATATACACACACATATACACGCATATACACGCACACACACACATATACACGCACACACACATGTACACGGACACACACACACACATATACACACACATATACACAGACATACAGCATGTCTTGTCATGGTACACGACGGCTGTACAACCCAAAGCGACGTACGACAATTTAAAAATCAGTCAGCCTAGCCACACTTGCGGAGCTGTTTTTGCAGAGGCTTCACCCCCAATAAATAGAAATGGATCGTGAGACGACGATACGCAAAAGGCAATAAGGGAAAGCGGTAATAAGCACGTTCTTTTCCGGGTAGAGTCAAACTTGCGTGCACACCCATAATACGTTTCACGTCCGCTCGTCAAAACTTCCCAACCAACAAAACTGCCACCTCGTTGGCTCGGCTAGGCCATGGGCGCAATCCTTGGGCGCCATGCGCCGCATGCGGCAACAACAACACGGCGGCGGCAGTGTGATATGAGCCAGTCAGCCAGCAGCAGCAAAGCAGCAGCAGATAGAGGATGGCGATGAATGCAAGAATACTGTCACCACTAACCAGCCGATTGCGCTCCTCTTTCTTACGCACGTAGGCACGGTAGCGGACACCCAAGGTGATGGCCCTGACCCTCACCTTGATGATCATTCTCAACCCATGCCTCTTGCTTTACTCACGTTATGACAAGTCCTCTAACCAACATATGCAAGGGGCAAACTGCCCCAAAGTTCTCTTCTCTTCTCTTCCATCATCATCATGCATCGTCTTCCCCCGACCCCCCAACCTCCTTGGCTTGGAAACCGAGGGGGGAAGGGAAATTATCAACAGCCCAAGCCGAGCAAGCGCATGCGTATGTGATGAGCTGAAATGTCGATCAAAAAGGTGCATAAAAAATCAGTCCACTGTACGGGACGACGCGGATTTTTTTGCGACGTGGGAGCTTCTTCGCAGCTTTTTGCCTTGCTAATGGCCTTCGCCTGCTCGTTAGATAGCTGACTGGGTGAACGTCTTGCTTGATTGCCAAGCGGAATCTCTTCTAACTTCCATCCGACATGCGCATACCAGATAGATAGATACCAGATGCCCTCATAACCCGAAAAAAGTATGGACCGTAAAAGAATTGACCTTCAAAACATGTTTAACCGCCGCACTCGAACGTGATGACGCTGCATTGCAACGGACGAACTCATTAACGAGCCCTAACGAACCACCACCACAACCACCACAACCACCACAACCAACAACATCACCAACAACAACGAAACCGCGGCAATGAAGCAATTCGATGACCCAATTGCATCACCGTATATTTAACTAAAAGGCAGCGAGATTTGCTTCCACTGCCCTTCTGGGCCCCCGCGTATTCCCCCCGCCAGTCCTACATACATACAGACACAATCCCAAGTACCCACCTCCACTTCATCCCAACCAAACAACCACCCACTGCTCTCCCTCTCCCGCCCACTCCTAGAGAAGGCGGAACCCCCCACCGCTGCCCGCCACCACTGCTACGCAAGGGGAGGGGCGCTGCTGCTGCCACCCTGTCGTGTCGTGTCGTGTCGGGTTTTATCCCTCAAGGACCCCTCCGCCCCCCCCCGATAGTGACGTGGCTCTCCAATGGCGGCCGACCCCTCTACAAACAGATAACCAACAGCGGCCACCGACGGCCGCACCAACCTGCTCAACAAGTTACTCCCCATAACTGCAGAAGAATCACAATTATAATCACCGCCGTTCACGCTACTGGCCACGAAGTACGGGCGGGCTTGGAAATCGTTTTAGTTGTGGCGGCGGTTTGCGGCTCGGGCGGGGCGATGGAGGGCGCGGCGGTCGGCGAGGCGACGGAGGCGGCAAAGGCTTGCGCGCCGGAGGCTGGGGCGGCGGGGACGGGATTTCAGCAAACTGCAGGGCGGCCCAGAGCGACGGCGATGGCGTAGACGACAGCGACGATGACGACGGCAACGGCGACGACGACGGCGACGGCGACGGCGGCGGCGACGACGACGACGACGGCGACGGCGACGATGACGGCGACGGCGACGACGACGGCGACGACGACGGCGACGACGACGACGACGGCGACGATGACGGCGACGACGACGGCGATGACGACGGCGACGACGACGGCAACGGCGACAGCGACGACGACGATGACGGCAACGGCGACGGCGACGACGACGGCGACGACGACGGCGATGACGACGGCGACGAGGGCAGCGGAAGCGGCGCCTCAACAGTTAGTAGCGTACTTTGTAATGCAGGTTGTGGCGAAGGTGGCCGCAAGCGCGGTCGTGGCGGCGGCGGTGGCGGTTTCAGCCTGGATGTGATGCCGCCGATGTCGCTGTCTCCGGCAGTGGCTTCCCCAGCATCTGCGCCTACTGCACCTCGACAATCTGGATCCATAGCATCTGGTAAAAAGTCACAGTCGTCATCCAAGCCGTCATAACAGTTGGCCTCGGTGGCGGCAACGCGGCGGCAGATCCGTACGGCAGCACCGGCGGTCCGATCCCATGAATCAAACCGTACGACAAGGCTGCTGTTGACGTCGCGCCACGTGTTACCGACGCCGATCTCCCCCACTTGGACCGTCGCAGAGTACGGCATAGCGTCAGTCCCGCTGTACGTGTGCATCAGCAGGTATGGCACGTTGTCGTTCCAGAAATCCCAAGGTAAATCGTACGAGTAGGTGTTGGTGCGTGCGGAGATGAACAGTCGCTGGCCGTACGGCAGTCCGCCACCCGTTACAATGACGGAGCTGACCAGCGCGCCGCTCATCTGCGAGGGGACGCGTACGGCAACCGGACTGCCGTACGGAAGGCTTGCATCGTCCAGCCGTAGTAACGGCTTGCTGCCCCAGCCAACCTGCGGATGGCGTGTGCGTACGTATGCCGTGATGGTTGGATGCCGTGATGGCTGGAACGGATCTAAACCTTGACATGCACGCAACAGGCCTTTGCTTTTGTAGCCATCAACCACCCCCTGAATCCGGATCCGACTTTGGATTTTGTAATCCATTCGGCCCCCATAGCAAGCGCGCACGGACCCTCCGGCTGCTTCTGCTACTGCTGCTGCTACTGCTACTGCTGCTGCTACTGCTGCTGCTACTGCTGCTGCTACTGCTGCTGCTACTGCTGCTGCTACTGCTGGCATCCTTTCTTCTCCAGGGGATTCCCCTTGCTTCCCTTCCCGCCCAGACCTTCCATTAGATGGCCCCCAACCACCTCCAACCACCTTTCACCCCACATTTCATCCCACGCGGATGGCTGTTTGGCCGCCACGTCGCTCCTCTTGTCTGTCTGTCTGCCTGTCTGTCCCGCTGCCCAACAGTGCTTCACAGTCCTCTGCCGGCCCACATCGCATTCCCCCCGCAAGCATACATACATACATACATACGTACACGCACCAAAACCCTCCGCCTCCCTTTACACATTTCCTGCACATACCCACCCAGACCCCACACGCCGCGTACGACACACAACGGTACAAAGCAAGCCCCACTATCAGCCAGCCAGGCGCCAGTCCCCCCTGACTCGACACGTCGCCACCCGCCCGCACACCTGCCAATTATGCGGCGCATTGAGGCACCGAATGCCCTGACCGACGGACGCCGAGCCCATGGCGCATGTGTGGTCGCACTGGTCCCCCCAGCCCACTTTGCAGCCCCCGGGAACATTCGCATGCGCCATGCCGTAGTTGTGACCGATCTCATGGAAGATAACTTCCAAATCCGCAAAGTTGTCGCCGCTCCACCACACCAGCCCAGATCCCCAGTTGTTGACTGCCGTACGGTCCAACGACCAACGGCCGGCAGTTGCGGTGCCCGAGAAGCCGTTACAGCCTGGTGGCCAGGCAGGCCCGGACAGACGCACATACGTGTGCACAGTTGGGTTAGTCAGGTTAGTTCCCTTCTTCAGCACCCACCACCACCATCACCACCACCACCGGTATTCAATATGTATTCAGCCGTATCAAGGGCAGCGGCGGGGTGCCAATAACAACCCTGAGTCCGTTCTGGGTCGTTCTCGGTCAGATGTCCCTTTAGCCGGGTCGGCCCACCACCGCCCGTCCGTCGTCATGGGGATGGGGACGTATCCCCCGATAACGCATGAAAGGGAGGGAATCCTACTCCTACTTCCCACCCGGGAGGATTCGAAGCAGTGACCTTCCAGGGACACAATGCCAGGACGAGGTGTATAGGATGAATATGGATTATTTATATATTCAGTGGGTCCGAGCAGATCAATCACCGGTGGTGTCCACCTAACGGTGGCCGCATTACCCAATACACCCAGTGTACATGCCGCGATAAGGGGCATGTACACACGGCAACCCCCCTACCACGGCTCAGGAGAGTACCAGATAGAGACATTCCCCTGGCCCGCAGCTCCCCAAGGTGATATACCCCAAGTCCCACAGCGCGCTTGGATGGGCGGTTTGTTAGGGTATCGCAGGGATAAGGTCGCGCAGGGGACAGGACAGGCCTAGCAATGCGGGCACTACTGCCCCTATTAGAGGCAGACGCTCGCGCCCGATTACCATCACCACCGCTCACACTCTGGAAGGCACTGGGGACCCGGGCCCCTCGTGAAGTGCCCCTCGAGCTAGCTCTAGCCCTAGCCCACGGCCCCAGTTAATGGAACACACACACGTGTTTTTCGCATTGCATCACTGTTTCCTGCTGTTGCTGCTTTGCTCCTGTTTACGTTCTTAGCGCCCTCCACTCCCTTCCTCTTGTCACCAGCTGACTGACTGACTGCCTATCGCTCTGAATTCATGTTAGTGCTGGCTACGGTTTGCTGTCACCAACCACTACTTACTCTCCACTCACCGGCAACACGCGCCGAAAAGCCGCTAGGAAGAAGCAGCACCCTGTGGTGGTAGTCCCGGGCATCCACGTCGTGGGTTTCTGCCGCCCAGGCGTCCAGCCAGTAATGCCACTTCTTCATGTTGTCATCCTGGGTGCATTGGGAGGTTGTGAACTTGCCTCCGCTGCTGAAGGGCTGGGGCTCCCTCAACGTCCCGTTGCAGGGAACCGTCACGGGCCCCAGGACCCGGATGTTCTCAGGTAGCAAGCTGACCTGGCCGTAGCTGCACGAGCTGAAGTAGGCTGCCAGAGAGCGTTTGCGCCAGGTCCATTTGCCGGTTAAGAGCAGGTCGGTGACTTGCTGTGTGTATTGGATTCATGGGTTGGGGGCATTGGAAGTTGGTAAAATCGGGTGGGGTTGGAATGTGCCACATAGAACATGCGCATGTATGTATGTATGTACGTATGTATGTGGGGTCTTCTAGGCTTCTTTTGCGTTCGTCGACATCGGACGGTGTCCCGATGGGGGTGATATCGGGTAGAGGCGCCGACCGGGTCGGGTCGGGTCGGATCAGATCAGGTCAGGTAGAGGGTGATCCCAGTACGGCATGGCAGTACATTGCAGTTCCTGATGCGGCCATGAGATGACACACTGGGAAGTCGGACGCGGTATCCCCACCAGGACATCAACCAACATCAAACCACCCACCAACTAACACTCAATAACCGAATCAACCAACCAGCCTAGCCAGGTCATACCGCACACAGCCGCCCATTAAAGGATGTAACAAACGCGTGTATCGCACCTCTGTTGTGACTGAGGCCGGTGTGTCATATCCGCAGAACGACGCGATGTACACCAAGATCCGGAGGGACGTGGGGGTGGTGATGGACTCTCCGAGAAGCGCCCGCTGCCGCTGCCGCTGTTGGGGCCGCTCCTGATGCTGGTGATGCTGCTGGTGATGCTGGTGCTGCTGACCCGCCTCCAGCATCCGTCGCTGCCGCTGCGGCTGTTCCTCGTCCTCCCCCTCCTCTTCCCCGCCATCATTACGCAGCAGGCTGGGCACCGTGCACGAATACATGACACCGTTCATGATCTTGTCGTACGATACGCTGACCAGGGTGCCCAAGGGAATGACGCCGCCGTCATCTGGCGGACCGGACATGACGTCAGCACAGAAGACCAGTCGGTATACATTATTCCCGCCGGGCTGTTGGTTGATGTAGCAGCTGGGGACGTCCTCCAGCTCCAGGCAAGAAATGATTCCTGATGGCAACGAAGGGGGGAAGGAGTTGGATTCGGTTTGTTCAGTGGCCAGTGGGTTGCTGGGCTGGTTTTTAAGGGGAGGAAGTACGGGTGGGAAGAGGCCGCTGATTGATCCACTCACGCGACAAGGCCCGAGCACTGGGGAGAGGAGGGGCATGGGGGATGGATGATACATGCATTACACTGCATGGAGGCGAAAGAAACGTAGCGTGTGCGGGCTTGATGAAGGTTGCGTTGATGAAGATAACCATTTTTACATTTGGAAGCTGTGTATGCCGTCCGTGTGTGTGTGTGTGTGTGTGTGTGTGTGTGTGTGTGTGTGTGTGTGTGTGTGTGTGTGTGTGTGTGTGTGTGTGTGTGTGTGTGTGTGTGTGTGTGTGTGTGTGTGTGTGTGTGTGTGTGTGTGTGTGTGTGTGTGTGTGTGTGTGTGTGTGTGTGCCGCTCTTTTCTTCCGGTCAACAAAGCAACAACCTGAGGATACGTCATCTGTTTGAGTATTTTGAGCTGGAGACGGGCGGTACTGGTACACGTTTTGGACAAAACTTGATGATTCCTAAAGTCTGAAACCCAAGGGAATATACCGTCCAGGAAGGAAAAACCCAACCCGAATTTCAGGCCGTGCATGTGGGAGGCTGCGGCTTGCCGTAATAGGGGGGGAAGTGGGAGAAAGCTAGCTCAGCAACTGAAAGGCTATTTAGTATACGACAGCTGTAGCCGATTGTAGCCCCCGTTTGCTCAAATCCTTTCCTGGTCAACCCGGGAATAATAAGATAAGAGTCAGCATTTGCTGCTCAGCACGAGAAGTTTTACAGGTCCAACATATGGGAGCTTGCCCTGCGGTTGAACGGCGTTAGCTTTACAGAACCGGTAGGGTATGTCTGTCGACTTTAAAATAAATGGATCAGGAATTTAGCCAAATATTGGCCTTCGCCGTTTGTCTAGATCCTTCATCATTTCCCCCTTTTTCTCCGTCTGTTGCGCACGACTGGGCGTACCGCTCAAGGAATAGAAGCAAGGAGAAGCTGAATGCAAAAACGAGTCTGACGAGCAGTTTTTGCTTAGGTTACAGAGTCAGCAAACTTACCAGTGATATTACCGGCTGGCCGATTATTTTGGGTTGACTGGCTGCGTGCGCCGGGCTGCGGCGTCACCAAAAGAAGCGCGGCGAGCAAAGGCGCAAGAAAGGATGCCACCACACACGCAGTCATCGCGTCTTAGCAGGGTGTGAAGCGTGCCTGTCCAAAAACTGAGCAGTAGTGAGTGCGATGGAATGCCCTACAAAGGGCTTACTTCTATAAAAGTGCCAAGGCCGAGCTACAGTTGCATGATATAAATGAAGCAATAAATTATGATCATGTAGTTATTTTTGTTAACATGAATTCCGGGCCGTGGGCTCCGCATTATTAAGGTTGTAATTCAGTTGTGTTCGGTTAATTTCGTTGGTGGGCGTTCCCGCCCACCCCGATGGTGGGGGAAGCTTGATGTCCGTGACTGCGTAAAGGAGGTCGTTTATACAAATATGCAGGAATCTTTGGCATACATTCAGGTTCAATCCTAAGGCCTTTATTGCCATCCCTTAACGTCCTCTAATGCCATGGGGGTATGACAGAATGACTTCGCATGGCCTTTTCTCACACATAATGACTAAAGATAAATAACGACTATACGAAAGGCGCAATGACTGTGGTTGCTTCTATCAGAACCCCGGGGCGGAATTCGCTCCATGGAAAGCAAGTCGCTTTTTATCAAAAGATCATAGAAATTCTTGAAACAACCATATAAAATCGCTTCTTAGCTGGCGGGCTCCACATTAGCGATGGAGCCAAGGCATGAGAGCATTTACATGCCTCCTAGGAGGCCTATCGATGAGGACTATGCCAAAGATGTAAATTACTGCGCTAGTGTAAATTACTGCTTCCAGATGAGAAGCTATCGGGAAATGTTTGAATCCTTCTGTGGTACGCGGCTGGGCGAATTCTCTGGTGAGGTGCTGTGGCGGGTGCGAAAATTGGGGCATAAAGATAACATTACTTCTAAGAACATCTGCTTTGAAATTTTCGGATGAACACGTGCGACCAGTTGAAGCTCGAAATATGATCTGGCGGGCTATACCTCCGTGAGAGTGAAAGAGCTGTGGATAAGGTTTAAATTTTTTTTCGGTTGGTAACCTTATCATTGGCTAATACGAAGGTCGTCCGTACTGCAGGGCAGGTCAAACCCCTCTTCAGACGTCCTGCTTCGCCTCTGGAAAGCTATGATTACTAAAATCGCGCGTTCCAATAAGCGTCTTTGCACGTGCCATGATCGACAAACAAACTGCTCGTTCATTATTTCGTGAACAGCAAATCGGCACAGCTACAGCAGCGGCACCAGCCCAGCAACGGCCGGCACTCTCAGGAAGTCCCTATCGTTTTTCCTGAGAATGTTTAAACTCGAAAACACTGCAAAACTACTGTGAAACTTCTTGAATTTTTTTCCATTACCCCTGCTTTCCAGTGCCGCTGGCGCCAGCCAGTGTGTTAAGCCACAGCATGCTCGTTGTTCACGGTCGCACCTTGCAGTCGGGGATTTGACCAGTCGCTCGTTAACGCACCGACAGGGTTTTAGCTCTGTGCTCTGTACTTATTAGCTCTGACAGATCGCATGCCTTTGTGGTGGGCGGAGATCATCTGTCATCAATCCTGTCCTGTGATTGGTGTTAAAAAAAGGTAAATGGCGCCAATCGCGCCAAATAATTGAAGCCCCGATGATTCTATGATTCCCAATCCTACAACAGTCTGCGTACAACAGTCAAGTACGCAGATTTCGACTCGCAAGTTACAACGTCGCAAGGCAGGACGGAGAGAAAGAGCCGCATCCGCAAGGACGACGAGGAAACGTCAAAATATGGGCTGAAAGGATGATTTCAAGGTGCCTTTATCGGGAAAAGAAACCTAAAGCGCGGTGAAGGAAATGGAGCGTTCCTATCGCAGTAAGCATTGCGATCTGCTGGAAGAGTTGCTGAAGTTTATAAATGGAAGTTAAACCTTGGAAAATATTCTGATGCTCGGCATCGCTAAGCGCCCTGGCCAGCATTAAGTTTCGACCCACAACGGATATCCATCAAGGGGCGCACATGCGACCAGAATTTTAACAACGCTCATCATACATAGTCGTACATGGTTGCGCGGTGTAACGTTACGCCCGCCGGCCCCATTATTCTCCTCGAGAGACGCAAGTCAAAAAATAAGAAGCGACACGAACAAGATAACAAAACGCGTTGGGCAATGAGTGTATGACATGAAAATGGAAGTTCGGATATTTATTACTTCGGAAACGGTGCAAAGGAAGTTAAGAAACGGCCGCCTGTCTTCTTCAAGTCGGAGACGAACATTTCCCCTTAATCTGGATTACAAAGTGCCAGGACATTTGCAAGATTAGCTGATGTACTGGTGTGCGTCGCCGTCCTGCAGTCTCATGCCCGGTCGTTAGCAAGTAGGTAAAGTGAGGATTAGTGATCGGATGCACAGAGAGAGAAGCTGCACACGACAATCCCACAATCCCTTAGGAGAAGAGACATCAGCACCTTCGCATCTAACAGAAACTGGCAGTTAGTAAGTTACAACGATGTTTGGTTTCTAAATTAGTCATCATTTTTAGAACCTCTCCCCGACTCTCAACCTCTCTGGCAGGCAGTTGCACATCACGGTGGTGATGGTTGTAGCTGTGGCTGGCACTGCGTTTCTCAATCACTGCTCCCAGTACGTTGGCTTGCCCACCTAGAAGGTGGGCAAGTACCTAGATGTTGGATGAAATGGACGAGCATGCTAGGACTGAGACACAATTACTCTTTGCGCAATCCGGAAGGAACGCCGTAAAACAAGGCGCTGCGTTCGGGGCTTTGGCGCGGTGTTATTGAATAATATGGAAAGTATGGTAAAATGAAGAGCGCAGAAGTCCGAAAGATGTGCAGTGTAAAGGAGTGGCCGAGCATATGGCGGTTACAAAAGTTCTCATGACGCAGGCATATGGGATGTGACAGCCGAAAAAATGGCAAAGGGAAGCGTCAAGTAAAAAGAAGAAATGATAAAAAAAGAACTAGCAGTAATGAACGTTTTGTACGAGAACTGCAGGAAGAGGAGTTGCGCATTAAAACCGGGCTGTGCGTCTGCAAAATTAATGAGCAAAGTATTCACAGTAAGGCGAGGAAGAGCAGGAGAGATTGTAGGAAGCGGAGGAGAGAGTATAGGAAGAGGAGAGGAGACGCCTTCAGGGTAAGCAGTGTGCGGAAAGAGAGGAGGGAAAGGAGGGAAAGAAGAACGGGGAGGGAGAGGAAAGGGAGGACATGAGGGTGAAGAGCACGTTCAAGATCACCTGCACCACAGCATCGCACAAGAACCTGGTGATCGGAAAAAAACATGATAAGGTCTCACCATGATTACAGTAATTGTCGTTTCTTGATCTTGTCCTGTTTCATATTTGTTTCTTACTTTCTCAGCTTCATTAAATTCAGCCTCCTGATTGATGTAAGAGCTTTTGCCCCAAGGAGTACATGTAAGGAAGCTATGAAGCATAAATATGGTATCCACAAGCCAGATTTGCGTAATCATCCATTTGACTTGCTGATGTTACCGAAATTTTCACGTATTCTGAAGATCGATGGATTAGCGAATGTGTGTGTGTGTGTGTGTGTGTGTGTGTGTGTGTGTGTGTGTGTGTGTGTGTGTGTGTGTGTGTGTGTGTGTGTGTGTGTGTGTGTGTGTTTTACACCTTGAGTTGCTTTACCTTCCGAAACGGGTCCACATGAGCCCTGAGGGCCAGTCCAAGAAAGATTACTTTCACCATTATCATTCCACACGAAGGAATATTGCATGTGCTCCTCATGTTCCACGGTTTGCAGACCCTCTGCCCAAGTGGGATCCCCTTTAAACTCTATGTGCCTCTAGCGGCCAGCCAGCAATGTGAACGAAAGAAAAGGTGTTAGCAACCGACGCATTATGACAGGGATATACATCCTGGCATGCATGCGGCGACCAGCTCACCCCGGCTGCTTTCGCAAGCGGCAAACCCATTCAGTGTTGCATTTAGCTATCTTCATGATAACCGGGTTGCTTTCATGCGAGGGGAAAACGTGTGGAACTGCAGACAGTCTCATGGTTCCATGCCGACATGAGTTGGTGACGGAGCTCAGAATGGATTGGACCCTCCGGGCAAATGGGTCTTCCGGTGTGCCACTTTACCTACCTAGCTGTTATCACTTGTAGCCTCCAGCAGGTTATCCATCCCACACATCAAGAGATGTAATCAACCCATAAAGCAAAACAGCTTGGGCGCCCAACCATCTGCGAGCTTCCCCCCTGTTAACTGGTGAAGTGTTGTTCGGACAGCTCTCGAAAAGACCTCCAGTTAATGCTTTACTTTCACGGCACGGCACGGTTGTGGATCGCGACAGGGCTCCGTCCAGTGTGTCAGAGGTATCCAGACTTGTAAATGGTGCTGTTGGCCACGTCGACTGTCCTGCACTTAAGTCCCGAGTGATTTTCGGCCTTGCAAGTCACCTGTTCACCTGTGATGTGCGTTCTACCACCACATGTAGGAGTACGTCCAGCGACGTGCCATGCAGCTTTTAGTGAGGATGGGCCCCCGGTCCTTGTCGGTGCTGAAGGCGGGGCGTGAGGAGGCTATGTCCCCTTGGGTCGATGCGGATGAACTACTGCGGTTTTATGTCCGCTGGGGCGGCGTCCCGCGCTTCGTCTTGGAATGTGCAAACGGTGATGCATTCATTCAGGAAGATTTTGACAAGGCGTTAGCAGTAGTAGCAAGTGCGGAGCTGACATATAGGGTCAAAAGTCCTTCCGATGGTGGAAGGCATTGCGCCCCTAGTTGATGGACGGTGGTGACCTGGAATAAAGTTAACCTGCGAGCCGACCAGGAATGGAGTTGGGCCGCTGTCGACCCGGCAGATTCCGTTGGATGCTGGTGGTGGGTGCGGAACCTGAGCGATCCACTAAAAAGTTGACTAGGGTGACTGGATTCGGGTGCCCCGAAATACCGGGGAAGGCAGGGTTTCGCAGGGTAGCTGCCACGGGCGAAGATACACCCCCCGGTTTCACACATCATATAGGGCAATGGCCAATATTGAGGCCGCGCCAGCTGTCAGTCACAAATTGTTCGAAGTTGATTCCCCGCATGTTGCTTCGGAAGTCCCTTACCTCGCGCGTCTCGAGGTGGTTGTGGTGATGGTGTTGCTGCAGCTGCCGCAGCTGTGTGTGTTCATGGTAGCCACCAAATATTAATTGCAGCGACTAGGTCGCGGTCGGAGGCTGTGATACGTGTCCATGGCTTTACTCGGCGTATGCACCATGGCACGATGCCGTGATGGAGCTTGTGGACATCAGAATTTGCTCTCAGGATGGAGCCCAGTGCTCGAGGGGGCGGAGGTTAGGGGCTAGGCCTACCTAGCTATAGGCCGGTGCGCGGGGCACCAGCAGTGAAGGTATTCCCACGCATCGTCCATCACCCCATTAATATGGTTTATTTGTAGGGTCCCCCACTAGCCCCCTGTTTGCCTATTGCCTATTGCCAATCAGTATGCCGCCGTACTACCGCTGTATGAACTTGCACTGGCGCCCTCCTCCTTATCGCCATCATCCACGTCACAAGTTTGGTCTCCCCGCGGGGGGGGGGAAGATCGTTTGAGTCGGCGGTTTGCGCTTTATGGTTCGGGTTAGGGCCGGGCTGCTTTTGGGTCGCCGGTGAGACGTGCACGATGTAACACATGGACACACACGCACATACCTGGACATACATACATGCACACATACGCACATATACACAGAGGTACACACGCGCGCACAGAGACACTGTAGTAGCTGGTGCACAGTACGGCTCTACAAATACGCGCGAAGCGCGACCACCACCAGCATCTCGAGAGGCCTTTTCAGCGGGGCCAGCTGCTACAGACACAGAAACATACAAACCATTATGACAAGAAACAGCATTCAGCAGCAGTTGCAGCCATCCCGGGTTACAGTTACGAAAGTTTGTAACACGAATCCGTACAATGGATTCTGTTGTACGGCATGTCCAAGGAGTTCCATAACAGCGCCTTAGCCCCCGCTCCTATACAGACCAACCAACAATTCGCGAGTCGAGACGGTGTGGCAGCGGTGTATTAAAACCCAGTAGCGACGTCTGAAACGGCACACACAGACACGTAGTTGGGAATGAAGCGTGGGCTTCAAAAGTTGAAGAGTTTTAGTTTTGAGTAGGTTGTGGAGCTGCTGCTGCTGCTGTGAGGTTGAAGAGGAAGTAAAGAAACACAGAGGCGGAAGGAAATAAACCCGTATATATAAACCAACTCCACGTAAACCCACCCCCCACCCCCCACTCAGCGGAGGCAACCGAGACGCGGAAGAAGCGGGAAATGCCGGGAGGAGTGTCCATGTGTGGACACCATGTGCACGGGGGAGCTCCCCGGCCCCATGGGCGGGGGGCTGTCGGGGGCCACACACACCCCGCTGACACTCCCCCATTGCACCCAGGTCACCAACCGCCAACCAATACCCGATTGGGTCCCGGGGAACGAACCCCAACGAAATCCTAACGAAACGTAACGAAGGCAGGCCCGGCTGGCAGCCACCCCCGTACATCATGCCACCTCCCTGCATGCCCCCACCCCACCCCTGCCCACCCCGCCAGCCTTATCCACGGCAGTTCGTGTATGGACATCGTATGTTGTGTTTATATGTATGTGTATATGTGCGTATGTATGTATGCCACGGGGTTTGTCTGGGGAGGTGCTATTCCTGACACGGAGGCCCTTTCATCTTCACCGCCCAATACCCCCACCCCTCTCCTCCCCCCCATCTGCACATAGCTTGATGCCTTGCTACACCCCCTCCAACCCCCCATCACCTCCACAGGTCGAAAACACCCCCGACCCCGAACCCCCGAGCTACTGTTGCTACTGCTACAACCGCTGTGCGTGCTGACGTAGGCAGTGCTCCTGATTAACTAACCAACTAACCAATTAACTAGGGAAAGAGAGGACAGAACATTGACGTGAGCACCACATACATACATACATACATACATACATACATACATACATACATACATACAGATGTGCGAACATAAATTGTGCCGCATATTGTGCCTCAGCGTAATACCTGCTAATCCACCCGCCGCCGGTACGCTCATGTCTGAAGCACCCCCCTCAGCATCCTCACCGCCGCTATATCCGAACCCGGCCCGCCGCTCTCGCCTCCCCCCCTCCCTTCCCCCCTACCGGTCGTAATCTCCAGTCGGCCTCCCGTACCCCCTTCCCTTCCCGTTCTCCCGTTCAGCCCGTACGGCTGTACGGCCACAGAGACGACGGACGAATCAAATTGAGAGGTTATCAGGCAACCCCGACGGCGGGCCCCCTCCCCCTGTTCCCATCCCCACCACTGCCAGCCTCCGCACTCATACATACAGACTCACACACACCGCCCGCCCCATGCAGGTCTGAAGGCCTACCTCCCACCGGGCTCCTAAGACCTCCACAGCTGGCCCCACCCCCACCCCCATCACCGTAACCAACCCCTCCTCACACCTCACACCTCACCTCCACCCACCGCCATTCGGTTCGTCACTTTTCCTCCCCCACCCACCCAACCCCCCAGCCATTCGCTTCCCCCGCCTCCAAATCTTCTCCCGAACCTCCTGCTCTGCCAAACACACACACACACACACACACACACACGCACGCACGCACAAATTCAGCGCATGCACACGTATATACACATGTCGTACAACACACCAACACAAAGTCATTTCCGGAAAGGCACCCACTCGATGAAGGAGTCGAATGACAAATTGAACACCTCCGCCAGCTCGCAACACAACCGACAGAAACTGCCGTGTGCTGGCGCGTTGACTGTACGACAGGTGGGGGAGCAATACACAGCTGCCTGACACGTTTCACACCGGGGGGCGGCTCCCCCGAGTGGCGCCACATTGGCCCCGCAGGCGGCACAGTTGCTCTGTCGTACAAGAAGGGAGGGGGGCCGGGGAAAGGGAAGGCGTTGGGGTTGGGTTCGGGGAATGGGAAGTACGGAAAGATGTACTGCGCGGGACGCAGGGAGGGGAGGGGAGGGGAAGTAGGGGAGGAAAGCGTCCGTCTCTAGCTACTGATCTTTTGTCGTGTGAAGCTAGCTACCTCTTCGCGCAAACCTTGCTCGTACATCCCCCCAACCCCCCAAAACCCTCCTGACCAGTACCACGCACAAGGCAGTACAATGTCGTACAGTCCCACCCGCCCACCTGTCGGTCAAAGTACAGCGAGGCGGTGAAGAGCAAGGTGTCCAGGTTCATGGCGATGACCTTCACAAAGTTAAGCTCCTCAACCTGTCGAGTTGGTTGGCCGTTGTTAGTTGACAGCTGGGCAGTTACAGCTGTAGCTGGCACTTTAAAAAATGGCAAGTGAGGTTTTCGCAAATTGGAAAGCGGTTCACAAGGTGGTGCTCATACGAACAGTTTCGGTGCGGCCATTTAAATAATTTCAAAGTATTCCACACGCAATTGCACTTCGTACGACATGCAGAAGAAACCTCCCACCCCATCCAAGCTCTTGGCTGTAGCTCTGAGAGCTACGGCGGTAGGGATTACACTGCTGTTGACGACTCGACTTCCCGCTTTTAGGCTTTTGGCCGTTTACGCCCCCACCCCCACCCCCTCCAACGCCCCCCCCACCCCCTCCAACGCACACACACACACACACCCTCGCCACCCCCCACCCACCCCCCCACCTTGATCGCCTCCGTGGCCAGATCCGAGAAGAAGCACCTCATGGCGTACCGTACAAACACGGTGTGCCCCACGCGCAGGTCCTCCATGTTGAGGGAGCCCGAGGTGGGGAAGAACAAGATACTGCAGGGATGGGAGGGGAAGGGAGGGGAGGGGTAAGAAGGGGTTTTGGGGGTGACGCACTCCCCCGGTGG